CCTGCCCCCCCCCCACACACAATTCCTTCACATACACACACCTGTCACCTTATGGAGTCATTTTCTCCATGAAATAAGAGGCAGCTAAACATTAAGAAACCTAATCATCTGATCATTTATGTACCCATCACTCTCTTCCCCAAGTAGAAAACTAAAGATGGCCAAAATCACAGATCCCTTTCAATACTTCTTGAGTCCAACTCCACAGTTCTCTCACTTCACAAGTGTAGTTAAATTCTCTGAGGCCATCCTCGCCCACTATGATTTAAAGCTCTTATATCAAGGTCACAGCTAGGCAGAGTATGATATTATCAAGCCAAAGCACAAAAAGGAGTCTCAATCAGGAGAAAGGTAACTTTCCAAAATATAGAACTATCAAGAGCATAACAGCATACGGTGCAAGTCTTACCCTAGGGCAGGACACTGGGAACTTCACATGGTGCTTGGGGAGTGTCTTGGCAGGCTGAACAGCCTCCATGCCCTCAGGGCTGGGACCTGGAGCATCCAGGGATGACTTCAGCCACTCTGCCTGGCTCCTGAGGCCCACCCTCTCCTGGATTAGGTCAGCTTCCACTTTATTGAGCTATCCAGTGCTCCAGACCCCCCCAGGACTAGTGGAAAGCCCAGAGTCTCCACCTAATAATAGAAAACTCCTCCTGCTTGCTTGAATCTTTCTAGTCATTCCTGGCATGCCTGAGATGCCCTATGGAATGAGCATCAGAAACTAGACGTCTATATTCTAACTTTTAATTTTTCTCTGTTACAGAGAAGGAAATTCACAGATTATGGACCACCATACCCCCTTCTGTATCCAGAACAGATACCACAATGGATCTGAGCTCTTTTCTCAAGGATCCAAATGACCTCCACCCAGTGGTCTAGACAAGCCACTCTCCAGCGAAAGCTCAGGCCAAAACATGATAAGGACTAGGTGTCCTACTGTGTATCAGCTCCTTCCCTCTTCCCAGTTGTCTACCAATGCGTTTTAAGAACCTGTAAGGTAAAATGATGACCTGCTGAGAGAATGAAGTAGGCTGGTGATGAACGACTCAGTAGGTAAGATGTAAGAGCCTACGTCTTACCTATTGAGAAGCCCAACACCCACCAGGTGCACAGAGAGGAAACACTTGAGAAATGCTCGGTGAACCAAAGAACAAATGAATGATAAATATGAATTTTTCTTTCTCCTATGGAATGCACACTTAGAAGCCCTTAAGGGAATGAAAGGAAAATCTCTCATGGGACATATTTTAATCAGGCACATTCACCCATTTCCCTCGGCTTTCCAGTAGTTTACATTGGCTGTCTCTGCATCATAATAGCAGCCAGGGGCCCATCATTAGTAAATCTGGAAATCTGGGACATTTGTTCCCAGTATTGAGGGATGCTGGGTCTATGGGGAAGGAAGCTCTGGGCTCGGGTTGGGATCCAACCTCCAGCTCCCTCATTGATGAACCTGATGACAAGGAAAGCCCCTTCTCTTCTCTGAGCCCCAGGTCTCCCCTCTCCAAAGGAAGTATATTACTTACATATAAAAATATGTCATGAGAAAACCCTTTATTCTGGAAATTAAAATGTACTAATAAATTTTTTTTTTTTTAAATGAAGGCATAAGCACTCTTGCCCTCTTTGATGTGGGGGCAGATGGAAGAATCACAGGAAGGCCATCTTTTAACTGTAGAGGGCCAAACAGATCTCTAAGATGATTTTCCATGCCCTATTTGGCCTGTTTTCCCCAGACCAACTCGTCCAAGGTTAGTGCTTCCAGTCAAAGAGAAACTACTGTTTAAGGTTCAGATTTCATGGATTTTAAAGAGTCTTAGCATCCTTCTACCCCCTACTGTCTACTGAGTCGAAAAGACATTTGCAGAGACCGTCCCTTCCAGGGGCATATATAATTCACAGAGAGAAGAGAGGGCTGGGGTCATACATTATTAGAAAGGGCTGGGTCCATAGCTAGGATCCTCAGCCAACGCTCATGATTTTTCTTTTAAGCTACCATTTTTCACACACCTACTCTGGGTCAGGCATTTTATCTGTGTTATCTCAGTTCATTCTCCCAAAAGCCATGCAAAGGAATTATCATTCCTCATTTCACACACGAGGAAAATGAAATTAGAAGTCACTTTGCCCAAAGGTCATCTGGCAGGTGTGGAAGAAGGGGGCTCAGACGTGAACCCCCAGCTGCCCCACTTTGGCACCTCACTCCACTCTTCTTCCCAAAGCTCCAGAATTATCAGCTCCAACCTCACATTTCATCCCGGTCTGGGTCCCACTGTTTAGCAGATATTTATGACACATAACTGATGAGTTAGGAGAGAAGGGACACTGATTGTCTCCGGGTCAAAGGATTCTTCCAGTTCTGCAGAGGAAAATTCCATTTCTCACCTCCTCACTTCCTAGCATCACTCTCGACAACAAAAAATAAAGACATAAGCATCTGGGAAGTGTTGTGTTTTTGTCTTCAGGTGAGGCTATGACCTCTGGAAATTGCCAGCCTATTAGAGCGTATTTCACAGGTCAGAGGGGTCTTCAGTATCAGCCTGTGGCCTCAGTTTTCCTTTCCAGGAGTTAAATATCTAAGACAAATCATGCTTTTTAAATGACTTATCTGTAGTTGGTTATTCTCAGTTATTGATGCATCATAAATACAGCATCCCCTCTGTATCTTCATGGGATTGATACCAGAACCCCACCTCCACCCTTGGGGACACCAAAATCCACAGATGCCTAAGTCCCTTATGTATAATGGTACACTATTTGCGTATAACCTATGTACATCCTCCCATATACTTTAAATAATCTCTAGATTACTTCTAATACTTAATAAAAAGTAAATGCTATGTGGATAGGCAAGATAGTAGAATGAAACAGACATTATTACTGTATGTATATATGTGACTACATAACTAATATGATTCTGCAACATGTACACTCAGAAAAATGAGAAATTATATCCCATCTATGTATGATATATCAAAGTGCATAAATGCATTCTACTGTCATGTATAACTAATTAAAAGAAATAAAAAAAATTTTAAAGTAAAAAAAAAAAAATAAAGACGAGTGCCTGATGTACCATCTAGGTGCTCATCACAGGTGAAGATGGAGAGGACAATGGTCAAGGTGGTTTTGAGGTATCCTTGTATGCCTCTTGGGATTAATTACAGATCATGGAAGGAATAAAGGTGCTTTTGCAGTCTAGTAGACCAGAGAGGGAAAGCCACAACACCATGTTAACCCAGAGTGTTTATGGCAAAGCCAGGCCATGAAGGAGGACCTCCAGCTACCATTTCAGCATTCTTCACACCCCCTCTCCCATCTTACTTGTGACAATTCCATCTAGCCACTATATAAGAAATGGAATTTTCTAGAATGAGAAAGTCTAAGCCCTGGAAACAAACAAGGATGGAGATGGAGTGAAATTTAGCATAGAGAGTGTCCCAGGCCCTGAATGTGGCATGAAGCAAATTAGCTCAGTGGCCACTGTGAGCGAAGGTTTTTATAAACATAACCTAATTGTATTACTTCGAAGTCCTGAAGCTTATTGCCCTGCTTAATGATGTGTCACATTATTTATAGGGTAGCGCAATGAGACTTCTATTGATTTAATGCACTTCCTTAAAGACTGTCATTGTCACAGCCATAAAACCGAGCTATTCCCAGACAACTCAATTATGTCCCCTTGCCTATAAACCACCCGTGCCCCACACAGTTGCACACGGGCAGCAAGCAAGAGAGCAAGCTTGACTGGGGATGTGAAGCTCCCAAGGCAAAAGGGAAGGTTCTGGAGATGGCAAAGACAGGTGGACAAGGGCTTCATCCATTCAGGAATGTACAGAAGCCAAGAAGCAGTATAAAGGGGTCTGAATATCCTCCTGGGCAGATGAGTGGAATAGTGTGATCTGAAGTAAGTTTCCTGCTCTCTTACAGCCTTAATTTCCCCCATGCAAAACTGGAGTGCTGAGCCCACTGAGACCTTTAAGTTCCCTTTAGCGTTCATATTCTGTGGTTTTGTGAGTTGAGACTGATTTAGTTCTTGGAGACAGGGTGGCTGATCCCCACGCAGAAGATGCAAGCATGAGGGTGCAGCATCGCTCCTCATTGTTTCCAATTAGCTGATGCTAACAGTACTAATTACAACATGAAGCACTTCAGTATAGTCAGAAGAGGGAAAGGACGAGGGCTTTTGCAGCCAGCTCTGGGGTTCTGGTACTGCCCCTACTTATTAGCTCTGCGTCCTTGGGCTCTTGACTTGCATGTCAGAGATTCAACTTCTCACGTGTGAAATATGGAGGGATGAATGTATTGATCTGTTAAAACACATATATCCACATTTTCAATGTGTCTAATTTTCTCAAAATGCTATTCCAAAAATCACTCTCCCCTTTAATGTGGGAAGTGGACAAGAATAGCTAATTAGGGTCCCATTTCATAGGAAGGGAAAATTGAGCTGGGGAGGGGACAACGTCCACAAAGTGAATGGCAGAAACTAGTCTCCTGCCCATGGTCTGGGGAGTTCTAGGTCTGATAATAGTTGAAAATCTGAGGGAAAGAAGATCTGATGATCCTCCATGGAGAGACACTTGAATGGGTCCTCCTGGATGTGGTCTCTTCCAGAGGACTTGGAGCCCCTCCTGGGTTCTCCCAAGAAGCCCAGAGAGAGGAAGGTGTCAAGGAGATTCCGAGCCCATTCCCTGCTCTGAGCCCTAGCCGTTGTTTGAAGGAGAAAGATTGATAACAGGGTCTGCAGAAGTCAGGACTGATGCAGCCCAGAACGTCAACTTGGCGCTTCAGAAAATGCCTGAACTGTAAGAATCCTGAAAACCTACCTCTGCCCGTGATGAAAGTGACGCCCAGAGAGGGACAAGGACTTGCCTTACACACATCTTCTACGTAGTAGAGCCAGGATTTGGACCTGGGGAAGCTCAGCGGTCTCCCCAGTCACCTTCCCTCTGCACCAGGTCAGCTGCCCCCTCCAGCGAGCACTCCAGGCTTACCTTTCTGGTACTGGAGCCACAGCTGCTGCTGGACCTTCTTGCTGGGGAAGTGGATGATGCAGGTGAGCTCTGAGCCGTAGAGGGCCTCTGCGATGTAGTGGGAGCCGTAGTGCTGGATGAAGGACAGAAGCTCATCCCGAGTGCTCTCTTTGGTCAGGATCTTGAGGACATTGGTGAAGCCTGACGGGAAGGACAGCAATGTGTAGGTGGTCAGACTTCAGAGGAAGGTGGTCACAAATGACACAATGGCAGGGGCTCTTTCCAGCTTGGATCTGGTGCCTTACTACTGATCACAGTGGCAGCTTGCTGGCTGCATCAGTCCGAACATTCACATCGTTCCCTTATATACATAGCTCTCTCAAGAGGGACACCACAGAAAAGGAGGGCCAAAACTCAGTCATCTACATGATCATAACTTTATGTATTCATTTATTTATTTGGTACCAGGTATGGATCCCAGGGCTCACTAAGTAGCTGAGCAGGGACTCGCTAAGTTGCTGAGGCTGGCTTTGAACTTGAGATCCTCCTGCCTCAGCCTCCCGAGTTGCTGGGATTGCAGGCATGCACCATGGTGCCAGGCCATAGTGGTGACTTTAATGTCACAATCAGAAAGTCAAATCTGATGTCTATTGACTGAGCAAAGAATGCATACTAGGCACACCATTAGATATATTTACCCTTTTAATCTAATTTAATCTTTGCCATAACATCGTTATCCTTGATAACAGCCCCCATTGAGCAGATGAGCAGGTCAAACCCCAGAGATTGTAAATGACTTGTCTTGATGCTCCAGCTAGAGGAGCTGGGTGCAAACCCACTTCTGTTTACTCTCCCAAGTGTATGCACCAAATAAACTAGGGCTTGAACTGCCCACAGCTGGAGTCCTGCATCTGTATTCACCCAGGCTCTGCATCTTCTCTGGCCATGGACCTGACCTCTGCTCTAGCTTCCCTTGCTACCTCTGCCCTGGCCTCCTGATGCAGAGGTGTCTTCTCTCTCCCTGTATTGCCACAGAGGTGCTCTATTTCTTAGTCCTTAGTCCTCAGCACCTGGCACAGGGCCTGCTCAGCAGTCACTCAGTAACAGCTGCTCTCCTTCCTCCTTCAACAGGCACGTGACCAAGCCACCTGCCAGGGATGCTCAGAAATGGGAGGCTGATTAGTGAGAGCCCTTGCCACCTAGAGACTGGCTGAACCCCTTGTTTCGAAACTTATAGGGAAGTTTCAGAAAGGGGAATGTGGAGCTAAGAAAATGATACCCCCAAACATGTTGCTTTGTAGTTCAAAGAGCACCTGGGGAGCCACCAAAGCAGGGACAGGTGTTCTCTGAGCTTTCTTATAGACCTCAATGGCTGCATCCTCTGAAAATATTTGAATACTGCAAACTCTTTCTCCAGCTCCATCAACCCAGCGTCACTGGCACACATGGCGGGAAGGAGGCCAGAGATGACACTGCACCCAAGACTAGGCAGACTTTGTCCCAGGCTCCTGTCTGTCCTTTGGGCTCTCTCATCCCCTGCAACTGCCAACTACCCCTCCTCTAGAGTTGCCTAGATCTCCCACCCACAGCCTTCCCGAGCTGCTTTCCCCACCACGGGATCAAGCACTGACCTTATCTGGGCATTCAGGTCACCTCCCAGCAGCCACAAACATGGGATTTTTGCACCAAACAGTTCATTTTTCTTATTTGTCCCAAGTGTGAGCTGGGATTTCCACCAGCCTTTTTTCCTCTGCGTACTCACTACCCCCCAAACCTACCCCCTCACATACCCGAAGTCACCTCCTGCTTCCTCCCCAGGTCAGACCCATGCTCCGAGGCCCCAGAAGTCACCCTCTCCAGGAAGCCTTTCCTCTTGGCCAGGAGCACCTCCTCCTCCCAACCCGAGCAACAGGCACCACCTGAGAGGCAGAAGCCCCGCCTCACTGACCTCTGACTCCGCACAGCCTGCTCCCTACACCCCTCCCCAACCAGGCACAGGACACCCTTCCTGGAAGACAGCTAGCACCCCAACCACCACCACTAAAAGAAAAACGGATTCTGCACCACATCAAAGAGCAAGCGCCTCTCCAACACTGAAAATGAGCTTCAATTTGCCAACATTTTGATTTATAAGGGGGCTTCCAGGAGTATCATTACTGATTAATTAAAGCAGGTACATCTTTGTAGTTCTATTAGGAACATCACAGTTATATTCACAAGTGCAAGGTAGGGGGGGGGTGGGAAAAACAGAAACAGGGCTCAAAGAATGGGCGCTTGATGAGAACAACCTCTCTCCATCAACCTGTTAACTCATATGACTGGGTAATTAATACAGCAGTATTAATAATGAGATAGTTTCTGTTAAGTAATAAATAACACCTTGGAGAAGCCTTGTGGATCTTTATCCAAGCAGACAAAGAGACACTCAAATCCCTGCTCTGCTCCTGATTCTGCCACTTACTAGCTGTGCAACCTTAGGTTACAACTTAACCTCTCTGACCTTCAGTTTCCTTAGCTGAAGAAAAATAGGATAAACTACGCTTTCCTTGTAGGACTGTTGTAAGTCACAAGACATGAAACATTATAAAGTGCTTGACAGATGTCAGCAATAATCACTATTTGTACTTCCAAGAGGGTGAAGTCCTCAAATTCCCAATTAAAAGAGTTCCATTTTGCTGGTGAACAAAGTGATATTGAAAAAGGGAAAAAAATAAACAAAGATAAGAACTCATGGATAATTAGCAGGCACACAGACGAGAAGCCTGTGACAGTGTTACAAATAGGATCCAGGGGAGCAAACCTGAGGCCAGGGCTCATCTTTCCCGAGTCCTTCATTTGTGTCTTATTTTCTGGTGTTCATTGATTCATTGTTTAATTCTTCCATGAATCCCACAGATGAACAATGACCTCATTGTGTGTTAGCTTCCGGGGAGACTGCAATAAACAAGCCCCAGACCCTGCACCCAGATCTCAGGTCCGTGGGGTAGACAGACGCGGTTCAGGGATGAATGGAGTACTTGTGAACACTCTGACACAGGGGATCAAGGACGGAGGATTCCTGGAGGTGTTGGGGGAAGGGGAGAGGGGAGCGGGCATCGGAGTACTTTAATCTGGGGTCCCCAGGGAAGGGGATCCAGGCAGAGGGAACAGCAAGGGCAAAATCACAGTCATGAAAAAAGATGTCTCATTTTGAGAAGTTCAAGTTGCCCCTCTGCTGGAGCCAAGGGTTCACACAGATAAAGTGGGAGGTGCCTGTTGGTGGGGTGGGGGTAGGGTGAGAGAGGGACAGGAAAAAAAATCAGCCCAGAGAGAGAAGCGTTGGTGCCAGAGGAGAATGTACAAGCCACAAGCCTCAAATACTTCCAGAACACACAGGAACAACTATGAGTGTTGGTTATCCTCCTCCCTGTTCATCCTTCCACACCCACAGACACCCCTTCCTCCAGGAAGCCTCTCTGGCTTCCTGTGTCCCACAGCTGTCCTTTACTGTGTTGACCTGACTGCTGTGTGTCAATGGCATCATCCATCTTCCCTCCCTGGCAGCTCCTTCGGCATCCCCAGGGCCAGCACAGGGCTTGGCACACCCGAGGTCCTTGGGAACATGCGTCGAATCACTCCAAGTCCCCTGGCTGCCCTGACAGTGCTCCTCACCTGCTGAGAGGGTGATGGTGCTGAGCTTCACCCTGTAGAGGTTGCTCCGGACACGCCACTGCTGCACCATGGGGTACCCCATGGCCTCATCGTACCTGATATCTCCTGGAGGAAGAAAGAAAATGCCACGTGAGCTTGGAATTCAGCTGCTTCACACCCAGCGCTCACCCCCAAGCTCTGGGCTCGGTTTATGGTCACCTCTTCAGTGAGCAGAGACTTGGTCTTGAGTGGACTTTCATTTTATTGGGACCCACCTCCAGACCTTACTATTCTCTCTCGCTCGAAAGTTCCTTTCCTCTCGTTTAAAGAGCAATCTCAGGTCAGCTCTACATCCCACCTAACTCCACTGGCAATTTGCCTCGGGACACTAGACATCTCTGTGTGTCTCCGTTTCTTCTGTGACCCCTGCAGCTGTCTCTGCTGACCTTGTCTCTTAGGCATGTTGTGAAGACAGTAACAGAGGTGGAAGTCCTTTGGTAACCTAGATAGTCCCTTAGGGGAGACCAGGGCTCTGCCAGCTTCAGCCTGTTCATTACCTGCTGACCATTGGTGCTCTTGCACCAACTGTAACAGAGCTAAGCAGCTGCACAGAGACCACTGGAAAAGCCTAACACCTTTATTATCTGTGCCTTAATGTTGGTTGACTTCTGGGTAGACCACTGTTTCTTTTCTGTTATTTGCAGAGGCACAAGAAGGCATGGAGACATAACAATAATAACTGCTGATGTGCCCAACATTTCTTTTTTATTAATATTTATTTTTATTTTTTATATCTTTATTTTACATTTATGTGGTGCTGAGGATTGAACCCAGTGCCTTGTGCATGCTAGGTGAGCGCTCTACCACTGAGCCACAACCCCAGCCCCCAGAATTTCTTTTTTAATGTATTTTTCCCAGAATATAAAGAAGAGTTTTCTTTCTTTCTTTTTTTTTTTTTTTTAAACCAGGTATTGAACCCAGAGGCACTTAACTACTGAGCCACATCCCCAGCTCTTTTTAATATCTTATTTAGAAACAGGGTCTCGCTGAATTGCTTAGGGCCTCACTATGTTGCAGAGGCTGGCTTTGAATTCGAAATCCTCCTGCCTCAGTTGCTGTGATTACAGGAGTGCTCAACTATACCTGGATAGACCACCATTTCTTGACATGGACATGTACATTTCAAGGAAGAGTGAGATATGTTGGCTAAACAAACTAATTCCTCAGCACCATTAATAGATGCATTTCATGCTCCATGAAGGGAGCATGCAAACTTCTTTGATCATGGGACTCCTTTCACACAGAGGGGTTCTAGAACTGATGTTGCATAGAATTCATTTGGGAAATACAGGTACACATAAAGAAAGAGAAAACACAACAAAATATTAACAAATGGTTAACTTTTGGTAGTGGGTGCGTGCAAAATTCTTGCTTTCTGTCTTATATTCATTTCCAATTTTCTAAAGTTTCTACCCTAAGCTTTGCAAACCCTTCTTTATAATCTGGGGGAAAAAATGCATTAGAAAATAAATGCTGGGCACGTCAGCAGTTTTTATTATTGTTGTTATGTCTCCATGCTTTCTTATGCCTCTGCAAATAACAGACACATTTCCTATCCTCTTCTCTTGTCCCCTGGTGAGGAGGCACTTAAAGAGATATTTGATACCAAGATTAAAATGAGAATCTCACTGGAACAAATGATTTCATCCTGGACATTACGACAGTATTAAAGTTGTCCATTATTGGCAACTTTTTCTTTCCTCCTTAGCCTTTTCAGGAATAATATAATTTTTTAGAGGCTTTCATTTTAAAGTAAAATATTCATGATCCCAAAGATATGTCCACTGGAGCAAGGTGGTGTGATTATCAATTTGTCCTCTGTTTATCTATTCTGCTTCTCCTGTCCTTCCTTTGCAGAGGTTGGGGAGAAAAGGAGAGTGGGCACAGGGGTGTGGAGGGGAGGACAGGGTTTCTGACTTAGGGCAGAGAAAACAGTTTGCACAAAAAGACTCGGACACAGGCCAAGGTCATCGCTGCATCCGTTATTATCTCCCTGGTCCTTCCTCCATTTCAGCCTGGAATATTCTCCAATGGAATGTCAGCCTTCTGTGGCCAAGGCTGTGGTCTGTACTATTTTCCCATCATTTGTAAAGCCTAGAACAGACTCTGGCACATAGAAGTCCCTTAGTCATTACATGTTGGCTGACGACTGACTGACAACACTTTCATTTCCATTCCTGATCATAAACCCAATCCAGGTTCTTACTTCTGGCTACCTTCTTACCTAATCTGCTCCAGGTCCTGGGGTCCTTGGGGTCCTTGGGGATAGGGATGGAATAAAGCTCTGGGGTGGGGGAGGAATCTTTCTTGGCCATTAAATAATAATAATAATAACAACAACAACAACAACTCTTAAACTTCAACTGTTCCTTTATTAGGAAACTGGCAAAGATCCTTGAGTCAAAACACTCATAAAAGGGTATGCCACTACCAGAGAGCCACAGCGGACCAAGCAATTTAAGTGCATAAACTCCATCTCTCACCATAATCCTGAAATTTTTGTTTTAGCCCATTTTTTTGGAAAGGGGAACTGAGACTCAAAGGGAGAAACTGATCAAGGACATACAATGGTCAAGGATTGTTCCGGGGGCCTTTCTGTTAGAACACAGTGCCTCCCCATGAACCAGGGAGAAGTCTACTCTCAGAAGTGGTAAACTGCCCACCACTGGGGTCATCCAGAGAGGGACAGTCCCTCAGCAGGGATATTGCAGACTTGATTCCTCATCAGTAAGGGAGATTCACTTACTGAGTGAACATGGAATGTAAGTGGCAGTCCACGTTAGCTCAGAAATTCTATGATCTTAGCACAAATAAAATATGAAGAAAGGCATAGAAGTTTTTAGGCACATTTTACCAAGAACTTTTCCATCTGGGATTTCATTTGGTCTGGATCTGGGTCCCTCTTTGAAGTAGGACAGGTCAGGGAGGTGATATAACATAGAGGATAAAACAAGACTAGGCTCAACCCCGCCATATCTGTAGACAGCCAGGGGCCTTGGAGAACTTACACATGGGACAATGCACAAAAAGATCTGGGCCCCCTGCAGGCCCTGCCCCCAGGTGCATGTTCTCCTCTAGCTATGCCTTTTACCTGACAGCTCAACAGAAGTAAGCCTAAGGTCTCCCAGAGCTTGCAAGTGATAGGGAGGATTCAAAACCCAAGTCAGCCACATTGCAGGGTCTTCCCTGGGGCCCAATTACCACCTAAGTGAGAGAGCTCCTTTATCCAATGGGATGACCATTCTCCTTACAAAGTGGATGCCACCCAATTACTGTATCACAAAGCCCCAAATAGCTTAGGAAAGCCCCCATCCTATAAGCAGGAGAGGAAGACAAGAAGGAGTAGAAAGGCAATCTGTAATGATGCAAAAAATGGGAAGCCTCAGGAGAACTCACATAAGACATATTTCCAGTAAGCAGGGGGAGAGAGGTTTGGGTATGTGAGAGCTGCAGAATGGAGTGGAAAGGACAAAGTACTTGGTGCTGTGGCATCAGGGTCTAGTCCTGGCCGTATGCTGTGTCACCTTCAGCTGGTCCTCACCTTTCTGAGCCTACATTCCTTATCTAGCAAATGGGGAAATTACTCTCGATCGCTCTGGCTCGTCTACAAAAACCAGTTGTGTAACTCCAGTGCTTTCAAGAGCCAGGGGCTCTTATTGGACAGTACACTGATTTCATGTTAGAAGGATTTAAAACTGAGCCTAGAAAACAAATACTGAAGGTAAAAGAAAACACAAATCAGAAAATTGTCAGAAGAGTAGAACAGGTTTTGATGGACACAGCGGCAAAGGCCTCAGTGAGAATGGTTGAAAGGTTGTTCCTATTCTCAGAGAGGCGCCTGCCTGTCCTTGAAGACTGCTCTGGCCCAGAGCCCTGGTCTCAGCAAAGCCCCCCATTCTACGTTGCTTGCAGTGGAGCCCAAGAAATGGAGCCCACCCCATCCTCTTGAAGGAGAAGGTCTGGCTGGGCCCCTCTTAAATCTGCTGATACCACCTGGAGGCCAGGGAACCTGGGGAGGCTCTGGCACGTGTGTCTTACCAGTGAGCAGCTGGAGGTCCGGGAGGGGCTCGGAGAGGACCCCCCTGCACTGCTCCTCCACAGGTAGCGGGATCACCAACAGCCCGTCGGCCAGCTGGGGGAAGTCCTTGATGAAGTTGTTCTCCCTGTGGAGAGGAGCAGAGAGACCACCACGTTGAAGGAGCAAGTGGAGCCGCTGGGGGCTGCAGGGCCAGGGGGCAGGTGGCTGGTGGTCAGAAGCTCTATGGCTGGGTGGCTTCCTGTGACACCTCTGGCTTCCTGAATCCCAGATCTGAGGACACAGAGCTCAAGACAAGGTTTAAATCCTGGCCCAACCACTGATGGCCTGTGTCCCAGCAAGCTATTGTATCCCTTGGAACCTTGGTTTCCTTGTCTATAAAGTAGACCTAGATTTCAGGGCTGTTGTAGACACTTAACGGAATAAAGCTGCCCATTGCTGAAGACATCCTCTGGTGCTCTAGAAACTGCATAGTTGGCTGGTGACTGTCCTGCGCACACGCAATAACAAGGTTGACCAGGATGAGGGAGAACCAAGAAGAACATGGAGTGTTCGAAGACCAAGACTAGAGAAGGAAGGCTTGGGGAAGTAGACGTTGGTTAAGGTGGCAGGGCCCTGAGAGATATTTGACACATGGGGAAACTGAGGCTTGGAGAAGGGAGTGACTTGCTCATGATAACCTGTGGGTTACTCAATCTCTGGTCTCCCGATTCCCAGGCTAATGCTCTTCCCCTGCCATTACCTCTTAGGAACCTCCCTCCATCCCCGTCCTGAGGGTTAATCCCAGGAAACAGAAGTCAGACCCCTGGAGGAATGAGCCCTCAACAGAGGACAGTGGTGACAGAGCAGAACAGGGAGGCTTCATCCCGCTAGACAACAGACCTCCCTCAATCCCAACAGCCTGCTGAGAGAGTTGGGGAGCTTGCTGTTACTGGGGGTGTGCAAGCAGGCACCCTGATAACCAGTTGGCATGGACGGTATGAAGGGCATGTCCGCATTAAATCTAACTTGGGAGGTCACTTCATAGTCAGAGATGCTCCAAGTTAGAGACACTAATTATGATTTAGAGAGGGAGGGGGAGGGGGAGGAAAAGAACAAAAGGAGGAGGATGTTTATCACTTCATTTTGCCACCTGGAAGGGGCAACCTTGAAATGAAAATCAGAAAGACAAACACGAAAATACGCGACACCCAAGCAGTGCCTTTGAAGCCCGGACCTCAGGCTGTTCAAAAGCAGCTGTGACAGTGTCAGGTGGCCTAGGTCACCTTCCTGTCTGTCCTACACATCTCCACTCCATGCTCCAGGCACCTTGGAGGCTCATCACCAAGTCATCCGTTTAGAGAACATGTTCTCCACGTCTGCGTCCAGAGGAGGTGACGTTATGACCATCTGCAGCGTCACCAGCATCACCAGCACTGTCTTTGTTACTGTCCTCTCTATTATTTACAGCATCCTTCTAATTTGCTAGGATTAAATCTAAAGTTTATCACTTAATCTTCACATGAACCCCCCCCCCAAGGTGGATATTATTATCTTTGAATTACAGGTGAGTGACAATGAGATTCTGAGTTAACAGGGATAGTTAATAGAGATATTTGCAAGGGTCCCCGATTGGAACCCAGTCTGGCTCCGCCTGGGGCTACTTGCCCAGGACATGATTATGCATCATGGTGAGTTTCTAGGTCTACACCTGCCATTTAAGCAAGCTCTTTGGTGGGCGGCATGTCTATCTGTAGAACCATTCTTGCTTATGCCTGTGGTTAGATGTGAACCTGGGTTCCACCCAGGTGGTTGCTCGTGGGTTTTTCTGCCAATCTGGGGGCATGGAAAGCAATGTGAATAGAAAAGACAGCCTTCTGGGTAACGGAAGTGCCACCATGTGTCATGCAACAGCAGCCAGAGCTAAAGGGACCGAATTTCCTCATGCCTCCCTTGTAATCTTTCCTCAGCTGTGTGGTGGGATGGAGGGGTATTCCAGGCCCTCTCCAGTTAAGAAGCACCTGCTGAGCACGTAATCGGGGAGGAGCTGAGGGCTGGGTGCTAATGACACAGAGAGAGACTGGATTCATTTCTTGTCCTCCATATGTTCCCAGCCTATCCAGGGAGACACAAATCAGCCATGCAGTACAGTCACTGGAGCTGACTATCAGGAATCAAGATGGGCTTGATGCTTCTGTGCAAAAGTCCCTTCCTTGTGAGACCCACACACTTGTTTTCTGGGTAGGAGAGACCAGGTGTTGGGAGGTGGTGATGGCTCTGGACACTGGGCTTCCATTCTGCCCACATGGCTTCCTAGCTGAGTAACCTGGAGGAAAGGACCCCGAACTCAATGTTCTTGTCTGGAAAAAGGGGATCAAAAAAGCTATACAATCTGCCTAGTGGAGTAATTATGACTTTCCTGAACACCTATTATGCACCAGGTGCAGTCGTAAGTACTTCGCATTTAATCTTCACCCAATCCTATGAAGTGGACGCTATGAAGATTCCCAGTTTAAGGATTAAAAATATGAAGCACAAAGGAGTTGTATCAACACCCGGAGCCATGCAGCTGGGAAGTAGGAGGGCCCAGGTAGTCTGGCGGCAGAGTCCACATTCCTGCATCCTGCTCAGATGCAGGATGCTAAAAGTCCTCTCCACAGTAGATACAGGGTGTCCAAGTAGGAAGGGCATAGCAACTATGGATGCACTGAGCCCAGTTAGGCTGCTGCTAAGAGAAGAGGCCTCAGGTTCATTGCAACCTGACTGCACCATGGCTCTGTGCTCAATGTGACCTCACGGATCTTTATGTCAACATCACGAGCTGGGTGTGATTATACTCCCCCTCACCCCATTTAAGCAACAGGGAAATGAAGGTTCCGCAAGATGAAGTTATATTTGTGGATTTCCACGCTGAGTGTATTTGGTAAACGCATTCTGAGGGCAAATCTACCCTTTTCACTTCCCCATCCAGGAGTCTCCATTTTAAATCTTCTATGGAAATCTTCTATTTCTAAGTGCAGTGTAGGGAAGATAATACTGCCCTCGCTCCAATCACACTCCCGTCCTCCAATTCCTCTGCTTTCTGGCCAAATCATTTTTGTTCTATAAGAAAATGTGACCCCAAATGAACGGTGGAAGGAAGCACAGCAGACAGGGGCCTGGCCCTGGCGCCCCTTCTTGGGTGAAGGTTTTCCTTCTGAGCTTCCAGGAAGCAGGGAGGGATTTGGGGAAGCACATGAGGAGGGAGAAGATGGAAGGGAGGGAGTTACTGGCTAGTGCACACGGCTGGGAGGGAGAAAGGCAGGGGAGGTTGAAGCCCTGAGTAACTATTACAACTATTACAGTCCCCCAGGTCCTGGGTCCCTTGCCGGCCACCTCAGTGATGCCTCGTCCTGCATGGCCTCTGCCAGCAGAGGGCGCCCAGGGCCTTCACATAAATCAGATCTTTGGGAGGCAATATGTAGCTGGGAAAAGCAGTGCTGGGAAAGTTCTGCTGAGTCCATGACCTCAGAAGGAAATACCAACAGCAGCTTCAGAATCCACCCACTTGGGGAAGGTGTCCAGGGATCTGGCAGGATGCTGGATTAAACTCAGGTGGTCAGAAACTGCTATCTTTCTCAAATCTCCTGTGCATGTATGTGTGTGTATAGTAAGGACTATTAGGAGACAAGGGGCCCAGTTCAAAAACCACTTCTTCCATGATGCCAGTCCACTTTTACCCAGTTTGAATAAGTCTTTCCTATCTCCTTTCTCTCTCATTTGTGAATAGATTCCTGAAGTGGACTTAGGATCTGGTGGTAGAATGTGCCTGGGCTTAGATGTCATACAGACATAAAAACAAATTCTGGCTGTGGTTGGGGTCACTTCATTTCTATAAGCCTTTGTAACTTCATCTGCAAAATGGTACTCCTTTAGTTTAAGAAGTTGGGAGAAGGATTTATATAAAGTTACTTTTAGTTAATGGCAGTTTCTTTTCTTGAATCCCATGAAGATTCTGAATCACTTAGAGGGTCTTGGAGAGTCCAGTACTATGCCTGGCTCACAGCATTGGCCTCTGAGCATGTGCTGAAACATGTGTGGAGTTGAGGGGCCTCTACCTCCAACACCACTTGCACATCACCTGTAAGCAAGCAAATCCTGCAGTACAACAAGAACATACTCACCATGCCCAGCTTCCTTCTGATCAGCCATGCTTACAAGAACAAACAAGATGTGGCTGCCTTTCCCACCCTCCCCCACCCTTTCCCAGGCATTCCCTCTCTCCCTCCCCCTCTTAAGAATATGTGTGAGTATTCTGGATACGTTAATATACAGCAACCAGCACGCAAGAGCCATCACCCTCAGTTCTGGGGAAAATTAGCATTTAAATTGAGGTATTTCTGAGAGGTAAATCACCCTGAATCAGCCAGGCTGTCTGCAGCCTTCTCTTACTTGGGAGAAGCTGGGAGCTGTGGTCTGAGAGCTGTTTGGTGCTCAGGGCTCATTCTCCCTACCTGTCTCTCTGGCTCTTCCCAGGCTGCCCAGAGCCTCCCAAATGGATCACCTCAAACTCCTAATGCTGAGGAGGGCCTCTGCCTCACTTGGAAACTATGCCCCATCCCTCATCTTCAACTGAACCGAGTCTTGTGCCAAGTGAGAGGTGTGACTTAGATCTGGTGTCCTTCGTAAACAGGGCGTTGGGAGATCTGTATCTCACCTGGTCTCTGCTACCCTGGCTGTATGATATGAGGAAGCCACCTACCTCCTCTGGAACTGAGTCGGGGGAGAGGGAGGAGCTAGTGCACAATGTCTGTGGGAACCCTGGCTACAGGATGCAGAGCTAGAGTTGGTGCTGTTCTCTGGGTGCTGGGTCTTCAGGGTCTGGCAGTGACAATAAAAGGATGCTAACACTTGCTCCTGCAAGCCCACTCTGAAGCTGTGCCCTTCCAGGGGAGCCAGATCATAGGTCTCTTAATTACAGATCTTAGTTGAAGGCATTCTTCCCTTCACCTTCCATTCATCCAACCATCTTTCCTATCACGTGCCAGGCATTGGAAAGGAACAATCAAAAATTATGTGACTGTTCTGTCATTCACTTAATACAACACACACATGTGTACAAATTCTTACTACATGTGTGCAAGGTTAATGATATTTTTGAAAATGTGA